GAACAATATTAGTAATTCTTCAGAAGCTTTGAGCTCTTTCTGTAGACCACAGTACACAAAGGATTGGATTTAAAGGAATAAAGGACTATCTTTATAGTTAAAATACAAAGGATGGGCCTTCTGAGGGAATAAGCAATAAGATTTCCCCAGTAGAAGCCCAGATTTGGAGAATTAGCAATCTGTAGGTATCAGGAAAATATATTTATTCATAAATGGCTGTTTGGGGGACAAACTGGTGCATTTGGATGGATGCTTTTGCAATACCAGACATTTCAAAAGCTTGAAAATTTGCAAAACTTTTAACTAAATTACCTGACCGATATACAACAATGGATGTTTATTTTAACGTTCTTTTTTGCATTGGTAACTTTTTAAAAGACGTAAATTTCCACAAATAGAGTATCAATTAGGTAAATCATGGTAAATTGATACATACTGTGCAACCATAATATAGATCTTAGTTGTGCAAATATAAAATGCATACGAGATTAAGTAACTATCTGGTAGGTTCAGTTCTTTGTGTGTGTGTGTTTATGTGTATGAATATCTGAGTCCTCTCAACACCTACTGAAGTGGAATTATTTTTATAGAATATTGTAAAGTAAAAAGACAGATTATAAAACAACTTATAGCTTGATCTTAAATTTATGTAAATATATTTTTAATTGCCTCATAGAATGATAGCAAAATATGAAGACTAGTTACCTCTAGTTAATGAGATTTGTGAATTTTCTTTCCTAATGATTAGCAGCAATTTCTAGAGTTTTTTCTACACTGATTTATTCAAGTAAAGACGGAATTTTTTTTAATTCTGTGAACTGTGAATTTTAATGTAGTATACTGTGCAGCATTCATGAGACAGAATTACTAAACTGTTTGTGCACTCCTTGATCTTAGTAAACTAGGACATGCTGTTCTATAACCAGATCCAGGAGGGAAAATGCACTATCTCATTTGAAGGATGCAAACATGATTAGTCAAAAAAGAAACTGACTCATTTGAGAGTTTTATAGCAAACAAGGACAGAAAGTAGTTTGCATAATTTTCTCATGCTCCTTTTATAGTGTTTACCTTTTATAAGGCTCTTTGGAACAATTGCTAGCCACCTGTCAATAATGTGGCCTTTTATAGACTCAACCTTTTATTGTTCTCCTGTCCTTGACATATAAAAACAGTCTTAGAGGAAGTCATTGTTAAATGTGGTGGGCAAAATACTAATTTTAAATTTAAAAGGCTGTCTTTTGTAGATTGAACTAAAGAGAGAGATTTGAATGACATGAAAAGAATAGGCATGTTATAAACTACTCTTTAGCATGAATAAAAATAAATTCATTATTTTATCAACATGTTTTTGAAGTTTGGTTAAGAATTATATTTAAAGCACCAGTTGATGGAAAACAAAGCCAAGTAGCATTCATTTAAAATTGTTGTAACAATTTTGCATAACTTTGCATCAGTTCCAAGTGAAAATATTTGTATTGTGAGACTAACAATTACATGAATATTTTGGATATGTAAGCAGTTGCTTTAACTTCTTTTTAGTGGCATCCAGTATTTTTTTCTTGATTTACATAAAACCTGTTGAGCTAAGTGTTCTACATATATTTATTGACCTACATCCTAGATGTGCTTTGCAAGATACTGAATAACACAGTCCTACAAATTTGTATGCGGGAATACATTTCCATTCATAAAGAGATATTATCCAAGCCTTAAGTAGAAAGCTGCCTATCTTTTGTTTTGCACAATTAGATTCCAGGTCCTCTTTATGTAATCACGAACAAGAACAATAAATGAAGCAAGTTTCAAACCAATGGAAATTCTTTCTATTCTTGTTAAAAAAACAAACATCCCTACACACACACACACACACACACACACACACACACACACACACACACACACACTACTTAACCTTTACCACACTCACCTCCCT